AAAATATCGCTCCCACTTTGCGCTCGTGAATCGGACATTGATTTATAGGAGGTATATTTGATTCGATTGTATCATCAGAACGTCATAAATCCTCCCCCTACTTGTTACTTCCCCTGCGTATATGTTGTGATCGTATTAAGTCTACGCTTAGACGATAACTAGGTACGTATGATACAGTCATAGTCCTTGTTTACGGATACTCGGGTTTATTACGTAACTTGATATTTGTTTTCCTCGTATCAATGGTTGAATTCTTTAGCAAAATTCCTTTTCTCCAATGGATTTTTTTTTTGATAAAATACTTATCAAATGTTATATATACACGCAATGATAAAAAATATTCATTCGAGTTGTATAATAAAGTAGTAATAAACAATCTAAAAAACTATATAATGTTTAATAAAATCATCAACACGATTTTTGTTTAGGAATTCTTTGTATTTTCGTGATTTTTCTTTGGTCAGTTACCCGATCAATATCTTATATTGAATTATATGTGTCATATATTATTTGAAATAGATCGTAAATACACGTCGGGGCAAGAGAGGCGACATAAGTCAACGTCGTCCGCTCCCCATACAACATGGCCGGAGTTTGCGACACCCTTGGCCGACCACATTTTTACGCGTCCAAACAAATTAATACGGACGTCTCGGGACTCCTAGAGTTGTCAAATTAATTTCTTCCTGAAGACAATTTGTCTCGGGAGGGTAAAAAACTTCAATATCGATCGTTTGCCCATTAGTTGCCTAGTTCCCCGAAGATCCCCTCGCCATCTATTGTTAATTATACAAGAAAAATTGCCTTTTCGCAAGAGACATTGCTATTTTTTGCTTGTAGATGGAATCGCGTAAGGTGGAGATAAAACCAGCTTTTTATTTTAATAGATTATTTTTTTTACGATTTACAATAAACATGTAACTTTAGTATAGTCATAAATTAGAAATTATACATGTAAAGCCGTGTTCAATAAATAGTGATTAATAATATGTTATTTTATTATACGACTTGTATCTCTTTTTACTAAAACTTAAAAAAATAGTACTTCCTAAGCCCAAGTATAAAATGGTGTACCGCGGGCGACTATTGCGTCGTCAAATGTATGACTTTTACATTAAAAAAAAGATAATTGATAACTTTTTTATTATATCCAATGTCTGGGCTGCCGGACAGTATTTTTTTTCTTTCCAAGGAGAATGTATCCCATTACTACTATTATATTATATTTATTGAACACGAAGAGAGTACATCAAGTTAGCAAATAAGGCAAGTTTATCACATATGACTCTTTAAATATAATAAGTTCTATGGGAGTCTTTTAACAATTCTGGAGAATTGTTGAATTCAGAATGTAGTCTACTACTTTTGAATGTTGCTAAAACATTTTTATAGCTAATCAAATAAGTGGGGTGTCACGCACGAGCGTCTACGCGCCCGCGCCGCGAACAAAATTAAAGTGCGCTTTTTTGAGAACGCCAATCTCGTCGGTCACACTCGATAAAACCTCTTCGTGACAACTGAGCTTTTCCTGTCTGATTTCTTATTAGGCTTATTACACACTATTAGCTAAAACGCACGGTACCTTAAAGATATTGTTTTCTATTTATCTATGACTATTTAGCTTTAACAAGAGGACGATATGTAAATGGCTTATGCGCAGCGACTATTTGAGACTTTTTGCAGCCGTTTATAAGTTTATTGTTTAGTAATTTAGTAATGTGAAGTAATTGCACGACATATTTAATAATATGCTCTAGGTAGCAAATATCTAACATTTATTATTATGAATGTTTGGAAGTGAAACAAATACAACCCTGTTGGCAATACCAAGGCTAATATGGCATTCTGGGAATTCCGATAAAAATGTGTCTATACGTATATTTAAAATAACAGTCTCGAGTTTAAGGTGCCTAAGGAAAATCTCTTGTAGAAGTAAACACGGAAAGTAGGTGGGTCACAATTAGAGCGACTAATGTCCCCAGAGCACTCGTTTGTGCACTACACATTGTGAATTTGAATTTTCTTTAGCACCCCTGAGGTTCTTTAGTGGCGAACACTATAGGTGATCAGTAATTTCGATATCAAAAACTATTTATTTATTTATATATATTGCTCGCCAATAAGGTACACACATAACAAAAAATAGAAAAAAAGGAAAGAAACAAGTAATATAAATTATAACCAAGAACCGCTTCCTAGTGTAGTAGTGCCATGCTGTTGCTTTCGGGCTTCAGTCAAATGGACAGGCACGACCGGGGCAGTACTACTGTCTCACAGAAAACCAGCGTGAAGTGATGCAATAGGTTCATCTTATTGTATTCCAGTTTCCCACCCCCTAGAAAGTATAAATGTGCCGCTTATACAGAGACTACCCCAGGTACCACAAGCACCCGCTGTGGAGAATCCCCTCTAGGCGTTCACCATCAGAACATTCAGCATTCGGTGGTGGATGCACAGGCTGCCCTACGTATTCTTGGCAACTCTGCTCACAAATACTTAAATAATTAGACGTAGACGTAACATTTATTACTAACAAAACACACAAAATAACAATAATCAAAAAAATATTAAAAAGAATGAAAGATAACCATTATTTTTTGGAGTTACTCCTTAAGAAACGATTTGAGTTATAAGGCCCGGTACGGAAATTTTATGAGGAGTAAAATCAAGTGTAACACGAAAAGTTGAGGCTTATGTGTAACAGAAAAGTTGAGGCTTATGTAGAAAGAGAAAACATATAGAGTTTACTCCTTAAGAAACGATTTGAGTTATAAGGCCCGGTACGAAATTTTATGAGGAGTAAAATCAAGTTAACACAAAAGTTGAGGCGTTATGTAGAAAGAGACAAACATATATATCTGTAGGGTTGAACGTGTTAAAGAATGAGATGGAATACATTACACAGACTTTTCTATTTTAAATTCACGTTTTGACAGCCACGTTACAACATTGTCAGTGTTGACAGGAGTAAAAAATAAAAGTAGATTGTCTAGCGTGCCATAGAGTTTTGTCAATAGTAATGGTCAGTGAAATTAAAACTAAAAAGATTGTTCATTCTTATTCTTCTCTTACTATAAAGGTAACTTTGGTCACAGAAAGAAAATCCTATTTGGGCATAGAAGATGTAGGTACGTTTTATTACTACTACAAACATTTATATTATAAAAACATATATTCTTACCACCTTTAGTATGAAAATATGGTCGACACCACAGCATTATCGCCATTTATCGCTAAGGAGGAACCCACCACGTCTCGACACACACACACTTTTTTTTTCTTTTAAAGAACAAAGTACGTTTTTTGAAGATTCCAGCCTATTGGCTGGTCTCTACGCTGTCTTGGACGAAAATACTTGTATCTGTTTGTCAAAAAGCCTTCACGTGCTGTGCGCCCAAAATAAGTGTCGAGTATCACTCAAGTGTCACACAAAAATTGCAAAATCAAAATGGACTCCTAACTACGTAAGACGTGGCTTCGGCCTTTAAAACTACCAACATTCTCCAATTATTACCAAGAACAAGACCTGGCTGTATGGACTAAAGTCCTTTGCCTTTCCCATTAGGGATAAATTGATATTAATTCGCACCTAGTGTTGGTGATGTGTAGATGTATTCTGATTTGTAGATGTATTCTGCAATGAATGTTACTCACTGCGATCTTCTGCGACTAACGGTGCACGTTTTGCTGGGATCCAAGTTTCAACGTTCATCGTATGATATCGTATAATGCCGTATCGTAAGTTTGAGATATAATTGAACCAGTGCATTATTGTCAGTCCATGGGCGGCGGTATCACTTAACATCAAATGAGCCTCCTGCCCGTTTGCCCATGTTCTATAAAAAAATTTATTAAGCTTTATATATTAATTTAAACTCAAACAATAAACCTTTTAATTATTTTACACAAATCAATATATCTAGTTATTATATTTTATATGCGACATTTTAAATACAATATAAATATTTATGGAGCGTTATTATAGAAGTTAATTTTCCTAGCAGAACATATATAAATCGCGCAATTGTAGATATAGTTTAATATCTAACGATTAAATATGCTTATTTAATAAATAAAAAATAAAATAAAATATGTTTATTATGGAACATAAGATACATGTATCACTTATTCCACATCATTAAATTGGAAGGCATCCCTACTCATCGGCAAAGAAGACTGAGGGTGTAGGCCGAGAGAAAAAGCCGGCGTAAAAAACTCTCGGTACTCTTTTAAATCAGCAAATCATCAAACAACACTTATTTAAAACAAATATCGCAAATTAATTAGAAGTAGCCTGTCTAGCACTAGTCCCAGGCCCTTTTATCAACTAGATAATCGTTGACTTTATAGTAAGCCTTTTTACACAGCTTTTCTTTAATACATTTCTTAAATTTATTGAAAGGCAGTGATAAAAGAGCCTCTGGGATTTTATTAAAGAAGAGTTTCCCTTTCCCCAAAAAAGAATTACTAACTTTAGATAGTCTAGTACGGGGAAATTGCAGCCTGCGTTTGTTCCGTGTATTAACATTGTGCGTATGTTCTATTCTAGTAAACTTATCACTATTTTTGTATACATACATAATATTTTCATAAATATATTGCGAGGGAAAGGTAAGTATATTAATTTCCTTGAATTTATCTCTAAGAGATTCCCTACATTTTAAATTATAGATTGCACGAATAGCCCTCTTCTGCAGGATGAAAATAGTTTCGACATCAGCAGCATGACCCCATAATAATAAGCCATAAGTCATTAAGCTATGAAAGTAACTAAAATAAACAAGTCTAGCTGTATCGACATCAGTTAGTGAGCGAATTTTTTTAACCGCGTAGGCTGCAGAACTAAGTCTCTTCGCCAATCCGTTACGTTTGCACTGCACGTTTTGCTGGGATCCAAGTTTCAACGTTCATCGTATGATATCGTATAATGCCGTATCGTAAGTTTGAGATATAATTGAACCAGTGCATTATTAGTCCATGGGCGGCGGTATCACTTAACATCAGATGAGCCTCCTGCCCGTTTGCCCCTGTTCTATAAAAAAAATTTATTAAGCTTTATATATTAATTTAAACTCAAACAATAAACCTTTTAATTATTTTACACAAATCAATATATCTAGTTATTATATTTTATATGCGACATTTTAAAAACAATATAAATATTTATGGAGCGTTATTATAGAAGTTAATTTTCCTAGCAGAACATATATAAATCGCGCAATTGTAGATATAGTTTAATATCTAACGATTAAATATGCTTATTTAATAAATAAAAAATAAAATAAAATATGTTTATTATGGAACATAAGATACATGTATCACTTATTCCACATCATTAAATTGGAAGGCATCCCTACTCATCGGCAAAGAAGACTGAGGGTGTAGGCCGAGAGAAAAAGCCGGCGTAAAAAACTCTCGGTACTCTTTTAAATCAGCAAATCATCAAACAACACTTATTTAAAACAAATATCGCAAATTAATTAGAAGTAGCCTGTCTAGCACTAGTCCCAGGCCCTTTTATCAACTAGATAATCGTTGACTTTATAGTAAGCCTTTTTACACAGCTTTTCTTTAATACATTTCTTAAATTTATTGAAAGGCAGTGATAAAAGAGCCTCTGGGATTTTATTAAAGAAGAGTTTCCCTTTCCCAAAAAAGAATTACTAACTTTAGATAGTCTAGTACGGGGAAATTGCAGCCTGCGTTTGTTCCGTGTATTAACATTGTGCGTATGTTCTATTCTAGTAAACTTATCACTATTTTTGTATACATACATAATATTTTCATAAATATATTGCGAGGGAAAGGTAAGTATATTAATTTCCTTGAATTTATCTCTAAGAGATTCCCTACATTTTAAATTATAGATTGCACGAATAGCCCTCTTCTGCAGGATGAAAATAGTTTCGACATCAGCAGCATGACCCCATAATAATAAGCCATAAGTCATTAAGCTATGAAAGTAACTAAAATAAACAAGTCTAGCTGTATCGACATCAGTTAGTGAGCGAATTTTTTTTAACCGCGTAGGCTGCAGAACTAAGTCTCTTCGCCAATCCGTTAATATGAGGGGACCACTGAAGTTTTGAATCCATGGTGATTCCGAGAAATACAGTTGTATCATCCAGATTCAATTCCTCATCGTATATAATTGGTCTAGTATCCATAACCCTTGCATTTTTTGCACAAAATTTAATGCATTTTGTCTTTTTTGCATTAAGTAGAAGGTTATTCATACTAAACCAATGGACAATCGAAGACAGAGCATTGTTCACATCGTCAAAATTTGTTATTTGTCGTTTGATTTTAAAAATCAAGGACGTGTCATCAGCAAACAAAACTATCTGATGTTTTCTCTCTACCATGAAAGGTAGATCATTTATATAAACAAGAAAGAGGAAAGGGCCAAGAATTGAGCCCTGTGGTACCCCCATATCTACTGCCGACCCAGAGGACCTCTTACCATTCACTTCAACCTTCTGAGTTCTTCCGTGTAAATAGGAAGTCAGAAGATTCTGTGCGGTATTCTTGATGCCATAGTGGCGGAGTTTCCCGATTAAGGTCTCGTGTTGGACACAATCAAATGCTTTGGATAAGTCGCAGAAAACACCTAAAGCGTCATGCGACTCCTCCCAAGCCTTAACTATATATCTATATAACTCAACACCGGCATCGGCTGTCGAGCGACCCTTGGTAAAACCGAAATTGGTCTAAAGTTACTGGGGTCGGACATACTACCTGCTTTAAATAATAGAATAACTTTACTATGTTTCATTAGATCGGGAAACTCGCCACTTTTAATACAATTGTTGAAAATTATAGCTAGATGGAGAGCAATTACATCAATTATGCTACTAATTATTTTTACAGAAATACCCCAAAGATCGGTAGTGTTCTTAATATCTATGGTTCTAAATATCCTCACTATATCGTCGGCACCAATGGGTCGGAATGTAAAACTGACCTTGCACTCGTTTACATTATCTTTGAGCAGCGATTCAGCGAGGGCGGGAGATGATTGAAGAGACTTAGTAGTCGAAATTGGAATGTCAGAAAAGTACTTATCAAAAACAATCGCTATCTCTTCGTTAGATTTGATTATAGTGTTATCGACACATAGTTCGATGTCTTGATTGCGATCCCTGACTCTTCCAGTTTCACTATCAATTATCTTCCAAGTCATTTTAGTTTTATTGGTACTATTTTTAATCTTGTTTTTGATATTTAAGGACTTGGCCGCGTAACAAACTTTCTTAAATAATTTCGAATAATTTCGAACATAAAGAATAAATTCTTCATTATGATTGTATGACTTTTCAGCGTAAAGGTCATACAACCGTTGTCTACTTTTATAAATTCCCGCTGTCGCCCAATCACTAAACGATTTACACTGCGAATGAGAGACTTTCTTTGGGGTAAAGATGGTGTTGAACTCTTTATTAATACAATCACTTAGATTGTTGTATTGTATATCAACGGTAGTACCTACCGGTAATAAAGGTAGGTGTTTACCTATATTATGTCTAAATCTCACCATTCGCTTTTTATTTACTGGAACAAACACACTGCTCTTATTTACTTGTTTCACCACTTTACATTTTAGCGCCACTAACTGTCCACTATGATCTGAGCTAAGATCAGTTGTAATTGAGGTTTGCATTGCCTCTGCATCTGTAAATACATTATCTATAGATGTAGCAGTGGAGCTTGTAATTCTAGTGGGCTCAAGAAACAAATTAACAAGATTGTAAGATTTTAATAACAGAAATCTCTTTATAAAAATACCTTGTCCGTCTACCAGCATCCTCAAAGCAGCCATGAGTTTATAGGCCACATGATGATCCTCGACACTGGGCAGAGCCTTCAAAAGCAACGGAGCAGCCTTTCCTTGGGCAGAGGCCAGTCTCTTATTGACCACTGGAACGCTCAGGTTCCTCACGGCTGATAATGCAGCGTGCTGGATTTGATTCAAAGTAGATTTGTCTATAGGAATTGTGTCTTTTTCCTTTGTGCTAAGGATGTGGTACACTTCGAATATATCTGTAATAAATATATTTATACATATTTATTAAAGCACACAAGCATACTGAGAACACAGAAATTAAGAAAATAGAAATCTAAGATGACAAATCGTAAAAAATATGAAATTCCAAGGTTAGGAACATTTCCATGTGTTACAAAACTACATTTTCATATATAACAAAAATGTGTTATTTTAGATTAAAAGAGAAAAACTAAAAAAAACTTAATTAAACATTATTGCCCTACTTTAAATCAAATGCCAAACACCCAGAGCTTATGAAGAGCACAATATGTTATAAAATTTGTTGCCGATGTGAAATGACTAACATTTTAATACAGTCAAACCTGGATAAGTGAGAAAACTCTATAAGTGAGAGCAATAGCCGGGACCCGTCATTTTAAGCTCCCAAAACCTCTATTAGCGAGAAACAGAAACCTCTGTAAAAGAGTGTCGTTTTTCCCTTATGGACCTCCGTAAGTGAGACTGCTACTTATCTATACCTCTATAAGCGACAGTCGAGCTTTAATTTATTTATATTATTTAGGAGGAACTATAGCTACAATAAACATACACACATACAGTAACAAATTACAAATTTGTCATTTTTTTTCATTCAGGATTTTTAAAGTGTAAATAAGTTCTAAATAAAATAAAATATATATGTACAAAATAATGTTGAGCACATTATGCACATAATTTTATCATATTACTTATTTACTACATTGGTACTTGCTGTGACTTGTTATTGCTGCGTACCCCTGTAAGAGAAAACACTACCCATGTACCTGCATTAGCGAAAAATTCGGGTTAGCGAGAAACCTCTATAAGCGAGAATGAGATTGTGCTCCCTTGAACTCTCGCTTATCCAGGTTAGACTGTATATAGTATTTGTTGCTGTGTGTTATGCATATACTAGGTTTAGTATACCAGTATAGGTCTACAAGATTTTGCAATAAAACAATTTTCTTATTTGTTATTTAGTGAGTAGCGGCCTATTGGAGTGCATACTTGTGGAGTTTTTTGTGAAATTAAGGCTCGCTTTAAAATGGCCAGATTGCTTAGCATTCATTTAACATTGCACAATTTACATGATACTTAAAATGAAAATGATACTTGGCTCTATATAATATATATTATTTATAATATATATATTTAAAACATTTAATAATTGTTAAAACTTATACAACTAGACTTTTTGATAGCAATGAGTAAAATCTATGAAAATAATTTTATTCGTATCACGTGCGTCTGACATATTGGGATGTTGTGGTCATATATAAAAGGGAATTCTTTTTTAAACTTCACATTATTTAAGTTTCAGAGCAGATGAATCAGTAAAAAATCTACATATGAATTGATTTTAAACATCCATCGGCTGCTCTAGTTGTACTCATACTACAGCAAATTTATACCAATAATTCTTGTAACAAAATTATTAGTATTAATTAAAGGCACCTAATTCGTTTCCAAAAAGAACAGATACAAAAAATTATAAACAAGTAAGATTTTAACATGATGATTTCACCGTAAAGCATAAAGTTCTACATTTAACCTAAAAGCTTTCAAATCATTAAATTGTAGAACCCCAAAAATATGAAACAGGCATATAAAACCGCAATAGCTGTATGTATGTGTACCGACTGCGTTGTAAAACACGAAATTATACTCGTAACAGGGAAACTTTGTTACAACACTCTCGCGTACCGTGCCGGGCCCTTACGATCCGAATTTCTGCTTTTCAAACTTAATTTACGCAATATATACTGTATACAGTATTTCAAATACATTTAACAGAGTAAAAGCTCTTGATGAACCTGGAATTCTCCATAACACAAAATCTAAATAACTCTAACTAGAGTTTCTCTTTTAATTAACAGACGTAAAGCCAAATATCAATAGGGTAACCGCACCGAGCGCCAGCTTGTTGAAATCAAATTATAAAGTGGGGTTGATCGCGTGATGGATGGACCCTAGAAATATGAGGAATGTGACAAATGATGGTCACCATCTAATGATCTGAAGGAATCGACAGCTGTGTGTTTTAATAATATATTTTTTTATAAAAAAAATATATTATTAAAACAATAAATTTCTACCTTTATTACTCGCGCTATCTATTAACTTATCGCTTATCTATCAACCATGCATTATAGTATATAGGTAAAGTATTATTTTACAATTTTACGAATTAATTCCCTTTATTATTGCAGCCGCAGATTGATATAATTGCATTAATATCCCCATATATCCGTAATTAAAACAATAACGGCCGTATAAGCCAATAAAGGATCTCCTGTTGGGGTCGTTATTGACAGAAGATGTTCAACCCTTCGACCCTCTATTTATTAGTCACCTTCGGCTCCTATTTACCTACTATAGAACTTCTTTTGTTTGAATAGTTACTTAGCGGAATTCAATGTTAAATTGCTTAAAATCTATGTAAGGTTATGAACATTCCTTTTTAAACACATGTATCCGCATAAAATGTTGTCGGTACATGCCATATTATATGTTGTGTATAAAACATTACTAACACATACCCTATTATGCAGCTTGTGGAAAATTCTATTGAACGGAATTTATGTTGTATAGACGTACAAATGCCGCCTATTTTTAAATTACTTTTTTATTTAAGGCTTTGAGATTGTGCCAAATCATTACTTAAATGAGTCGATAAATAAGAATGGAGGGTCCCATTCTCGTACATACGGTAATCTCGTTAAATTTATATAGAAGTGTTGACATTATGGCTCGGATTAGCTCTAATGCACCGTGACTGCAGTGAAATTGACCACATATGGCGTATTATTTCCCTCCAACTTGTATTATTTAATTGTAAACTGTGTTGTTAGGAAATTAGATAGCCTATGCGCCACTCACACATTTAATGTAAAATACAGAACTCATTTATAACAAAAATTATCATAATTGAAATAAAAACTACCAAAGTTGGAAAATAACTTTCTTCTAGTATTCTAATAAAGTTCTAGTTTTTTTATTCGAAATATATTGCAAATCATACTCCAGTGTTGGAATGACAAAACACAAAAAAAATGTTTTAGTAAATTATACACCCTTAATGTTGTAACCACTTTAAAAAATACACAAAACACTGATTTGCATCATAGTTAGCAACAAATACTATTTAAATAGTGACGTCACACAACAATACAAGTCAAAACGCATGAGTTCTGAGCAATTTGTTTACACTAGAAACTAGTTATTCCTCTCTTTTGTTGAAATAAAAATTAGTAATTATATTCACGCCGAGACGAAGGGTGTATGTACCCCAACGTAATATGCGTCACAGAGCAAGCTAGGTTTGTAGTGAAGCAAATTATAACTTTCAGCTTGTAAATGGTTTTTGTACAGTCTGTGGCGTACTTTTGTTAAAGCTTGGGGACAACCGTGACGAAATTCGTGTGGGGTATTGATGCAACCCTTCTACGCACCGCAGTTGAGGCGAGGATGCTGTGCACTGCGATTTTTAAGTTTGATCGCTAAATATATGCTTTCTCGTATTTCATATTGCGTATTTTTCTATGCACTCCTGGCAGCGCTGTAATGTTTATGTTAATCTCTTATAATACGTATTTGATATTGTAATATAATGTTTAAAACCACATAAGCAACATATCATTATTATGACTAGTAATGTTAGATATCTCTAAGCTATTAATTGATCTCAAATTGTATGCTAGTAGTACTGAGTTGCCTTACAAAAAAGTATTTAAACTTTCACTATCGGCACATAGAAAAGACTCCTATCCAGTCTATTTATTTACCTACAAAAGTGAATGTTTAGGCATATAGACATAGACATAACATTTATTACAAACGAAAACACACACACATAAACACACAAAATAACAATACTTAAAGAAAAAATAACATAAGACATATCAAAAACAATAAAAAATAAAAATTCCCTTTTGCCATTCGGTTCGCTTCTAGTGTGCAATGTGTGTACTGTGGTTGTAATTGGCCCTGGCTCAGCATTATGCTGAGGAGCAAAAAGTTCCACAGCGCTGGTCATTCTGCCAGAGACCAGAGCAGCTAGTTTGTGCCTCAGTAGCAAAGAAAAGTAATAAAAAGAATAATAATAATACTAAGTAGAAAATAATAATAATATTAAAGTTAGGAGTGTGAGTAATGAAAATCGTGTGTAAGGGTGTATAATAAATTAAATTAAATTAAAAGTTAAAAATATCTACTTGTTTCTAATTCATAATTCATTATGTCCCAAAACCGTGCTATATTTATTATATATGTTCCTCAAAGTATCAAATATATACGTCGCAGTATCACCAACCCTACGTGCAAGCGTGAAATTCGTGCAATAAATGCCTTTGTATTGCGGCCTGTTGACTTTCCGCCGAAACCGCTAACAATACACAGCCGTGTCTTGCTATTTTTGTTTTCTAATATTTCCATTCATATTAAAAATAACATGCTTTGAAGTCAAATAACCTTGTTAAGAGAATTAATATTAGAATCAAGTATACAGTATTTACAATTTTCTTAACTACAAAGTAATAATAAAAAGAATTAAACATTATGAAAAAGTAAATCAAAACAAATTTAAAAAGTTTGGTCTCTGTGGCAGTGTACCTTTAACGCTGGCAGCATTTCCTCGCTGTATTGCGATACTTATTCGTTGAGCCAGGAAAGCACCAGCTCTGGGGTCATCGGTACTATCTACCAGGCGCCAACTTGAATCTTTAATAAGCGCCTGTGCACTTGAACCCCACGGCCCAAGAGTCTCTACTCCAAAGGAAACAAAATTGAAGTTGGAGCAAAGACTCTTATATTTGTGCCGTTTATTATAAAAATAAGGAGTTTCAATCCAAATTTAACTCTTTTGAAATATATTAGTGGTTAAATCATATGAAATAAAGTTTAGTAAATTCATGTTCACTCGATGTTACTAATAATAAATGAACTTTATTTTTACTAATATTTTTAATTAGTATTGACAGGTACAATTGCCACAATCAGCACCACACGCTAACTTGGTTATTATTAGCTAGTCGATGTACTCGATCGATTGATTTTATCATAGAGCCTGTCCTGATACCTAATGTAAAGCTGGAGATATATGTTACATTGACCTTTCGGGATTTCTAATAAATTAAAAACACGAATATTTTGCTTAAATTTAAAATAGATAAGACAGAAATTCAGTGCTTTGCACCCAAAAATATTACTTAAACTCCAAAAGTACCATTGGAGGTTACCTTCATTCTCGTCTTAGTTCTGCTTAAGCAGGCCCATTATACATTTATACAGTTACTTATTAATTCATGTCGTTGGGTAATAATGAAAATTTTGTGTTTTCAATATTAATATATATTTTTTCCATTTTCCTAATCTAAAATTTGACAAATGTAGCTGAATTTTTCTTTCGTTTACATAATTTTATGTTGTAATAAAACGTGTTAACGATCCGCATGTAAGCCAACCTTTAATTAAGAGCAAACCAGTACAGGCAGGTGTAGGCTAGGTTCCCGGGTGCGCTCATTATTGTTATATAATTTAATTGCAACCATTAAAATACCTTTTATATTACCAAGAAAATGAGTTTGTCCTCGATTCCCGACGCTTTCTTTTTGCCGATATCTAAAAGGTTAAAATCTATTTTATATCATTGAATTGGCTACCATTTAAATGTTGGTTGTAAATATGTACAATCCTAGAATAAATGTTTGTTCTTAAATTCAGAAATTTATTGTAACGCTGCGCACTTTGAACGTGACTATGATTTTATAAAATACTTTTGAAAATAACTAATTTCATTATTGTATTTGTGGTCTTCGTGGATTATTTCCAAAATGCATTCTGTTACTTGACTGACGTCGTCAAGTTTTATTTGCTTATTGCTGACTCTTGGTCAACGCCAGAGGTCAAACATACAACATTAGGATTACAAATTAGGAAACGCACGCTTAACCACTGGGCTAAAATTGTATGACTACTATAAACTGAAACGTGTACTTTTTTTATAATTCTGTATTTGTAAGTATTTATTTAATTACGGTTGAAAACATGTTTCGGCCTTAACAAATAATAATAATTTCAACTAATTTCGACAAACGAAAACGTCTTTTTCACAATTTGTGTCTGAGAGGAACTTAATGAGAATGATTAAAGTATCTGCCAGGAGACGGTATAATTTGGCAAAAGGCTTGTGGAGGAATTTGAGTCGTCTATTAATCAACTCGCTGCTTCATCGCGCGATTATAAGCTCTTAGCAGAGGGTGCAGCGGCTCTATATAAATTAGTTGGTGATGAAAACACCTAGGGATGTACTATAATTATCGATGAAATACATAAGCTTGAAATAATCTTTTAATCATTTTAATTTAGTTATTATAAAGCCGCTATAAGTGATAATAGGAAAAAATAAGCTTCTAATTAAATGCAAAATCGATTGGCCAAAACAATTTCAATACGATAGAAGATTCATAGATATCACAAAACTGTATTTTTCACATGATTGCGTTTTACAGAGACTCTTGTTAGATATATTATAGTCAATAAGTAAGATTGAATAGCCCTACCAAAATAAAATCAAGCGCAATTTAAAACTGTATTTATTCATTCTCAGACAACTATTTTCACACAAAGTTCAGACATATCGATTCGTAACAATCACTGTCAAATGCCGATATGCAAATATCGACTAGCGGTCATCTCGTCCAACCCTTCCACAGCACCAGTGCAAGCCTCGGGCGCAACTGAACAGTTAACTAAATTAAAGTGAGTGTGAACGCTGCAGGGTTAACTATTCCATTTCGTTTATTGCGTACAATTCCCTCTTAACCCTTCGCTGCTTAATAAAGATATAGAAGCCTATTAGCGCTGACGGAGACGGTACTTTTAAATAGCTTCGATTGAGGGTTAAATTCGGTTAATTAATTATCATGTGTCACCTCAAATGATAGTTATCTACTGATATTAAATTATGATAATATTCTTTCGTCCACTATTTATTGAACTCACTTTCTGCTAACAACGACATGTTTCATGGTATTTTCAAGCGTAAACAGTTTTTTCTATTGACATTGATATGAATACACCAGACCACACTGGCTGAATTCACATGGATTGCATTATTTATAATTTGTTATTAAAAGGTTTAGGTTTTATGATTTGTCTTGTTTTTTAAAATGTAATATTATGCTCTTGGTTTAAATTTGCCATAAAAAGATAACTATTGTATTAGTATTGGTAAAATTTAATCTCTAAAAATAGGTGAATTGAAATGGTTACAATGTTTGACGGGAGCCAGACACGCAAAGTGGTGTGAACTGCAAAATATGATTATGCATAAAGATTGATTATTAACTATAATCAAACCTTAAAAAACTACAAAATAATCAACTACAAAAGAGTAATATTTCAAGTGAAACAACTATTAGGTCCTTACATATGAAATTGGCGTTTTGTATGGGAGGAACAAAAAGTCGAATATTTTTAAATATAATATATTTAATTAATCAAAGTATGAACCATTGTTTTCTATGCACTTTTGCCATCTCATAGGTAGTTCATTGATCCCTTTACTAAAAAAACCAGTCGGACGGGAATCAATCAAATCTGTGAAGGCGATTTGGACTGCCCCATCAGCGTTAAATTTTTTCCCTTGCAAGAAGTTGTCCAAATTTCGAAAAAAATGGTGATTTGTTGGAGCAAGGTCCGGGGAGTACGGAGGATGTCTTAGACATTCCAATTGAAGCTCTTCTAATTTGGTAGCCGTCTGTTGTGCAGTGTGTGGTCTAGCGTTGTCGTGAAGTAGCAGTGGCGTGGAGCGATTGACCAGCCTAGGTTGTTTAGCGGCTAGCTTTTCCATCATGGTTTGCAATTGCTGACAATAGACATCAGCCCTAATAGTCTGGCCAGATTTGAGAAAACTGCAATGAACAATACCGGCACTAGTCCACCAAACGCTTACAAGTAACTTTTTTGGGGTTCATTTTCGCTTGGGCTGGCTGGCCAGGATCCAACCATTGCGCTGAGCGCTTCCGATTATCGTAAAGAATTTATTTTTCATCACAGGTAATGATTCGGTTTAAAATACCTTCATTATTGTGCCGGTTCACTAATGTAACGCAGCAGTCGACGCGCGTTTGCCGGTTTGCTTCAGTCAATTCGTGAGGTACCCATCTTTCAAGCTTTTTAATCTTCCCAATTTGCTTCAAGTGAATTAAAACAGTTTTATCACTAACACCGCAGCCTGCAGCTAACTCCGACGTGGTTTGCGATGGATCCGCTTCCACAATAGCCTTCAATACTTCATTATCAACTTGGGTCTCAGGCCGTCCACGGGGCTTGTTCTGCAGGTCGAAATATCCAGAACGAAAACGTTGGAACCAAAAACGAACTGTGTTTTCTTTTGCAACATGACCGCCATACACATCATTCACCCTTCGAGTCGTTTCCGCAGCACTAGTGCCACGGCGGAACTCGTACTCGTAAATAATGCGATACTTTAAGTTTTCCATTTTGTAAAATGAGTGACGCAAAGAGAAAAAAATAGAAGAAAAAACAAATGAATGACGGTCATCGAAGCACAAATACATGAGTAAATAGCTGTACAAATTTGAATTTGGAATTCCTTACCAAAGAGGAGAACATCGTGATTAAAATGCATAATGTAAGGACCTAATATTTACAGCATTTTAAGTAATGTTATTGAACCACGTCATGTCATTAGTTGACTTAGGGCTAATTTCACCAAACTCAGATAAGTTTTATTCCAAGGAATTAACCCTGGAATAGCAAATTTTACATTTCACCAACTACTTAACCTGAGAATAAAACGTTATTCCAAGGATAAGATTTATACGCCCAATTTTGAACGAATACGGAGATATTCCTTGGTTAAAAATGGCCGCCATGTCATGTCAGCTGTCAGGATTCATAGAACACAGACATTTTGTTTGATCCCGAGTTTGTTGTGGTTGTTCCCTCAGAGTTGTTCCTGTTTTCTTTCCTTGATCTAATTATCACAACTATAGATAATGCAACGTTTAAGAAGAATTATTTACGAAAGTGACAGTGATGATGATAGCGAAAACGAAAACTATGCTGTAAGGCGTCCAAGATGGATAAAAGAAAGAAATGATCATTTCAACAACTACGACGATGAAGACTTCAGGATAAGATTTCGGTTATCCAAGGTCGCAACATATAATTTATTGGTGAAAATTGAAAACCGTTTAGAATTCATATCTGAGAGGTAAGTTTCTGTAAAATAAACAACAATTTGCATCAAATATTTGATAGGTTCCTAACCTAACTATCTATTTTTAAGGTATTGCTATGGATTTATCTGTGTTTATGTAGCTAATTAAGCCTTTTTTTTTGTTTACAGGAATCAATCAGTTTCTCCAGTCAACCAGCTTTTAGCCACCTTAAGATTTTATGCCACAAATAATACACAACTGACGATAGGTGATTTCAGTGGGCTCAGCGTACCCACAGCGCACAGGATAATACATAGAGTTAGTGCTGCCATAGCATCACTTCACCATGAATACATAAAATTTCCAAACACGCAACAGGAGATTCGACAAAATCAACAGGAATTTTATCGTTTAGCACGATTTCCTAGAGTGATTGGAGCAATGGAACGCACACATATTCGTATTTCTTCACCCGGAGGCGAACAGGCAGAACTGTTTAGAAACCGTAAAGGTTACTTTTCTATTAATGTCCAGACCATATGCAATGCAAATTTGGAGATTATAGACATTGTTGCAAGATGGCCTGGATCAGCACATGACAGCCTTATTTTCAACAATTGTTGCCGTAAAGCAAAATTTGAAGCTGGTGAATATGGTGAAGGAATTTTGCTTGTTGATGGTGGATATGCAGCCACATTCTATTCTATGCCTCCACTAGAAAATCCCAGAACACCAGTGGAGCAACTTTACAACGAGTCGCAAATAAGAACTAGAAATCCTGTAGAGAGGTCTTATGGTGTTTGGAAAAGAAGATTTCCAGCACTGTCTTTAGGGCTACGAGTGAAGTTAAACAAGGCCTTGGTTATAATTATGGCAACTGCTGTTCTACATAATATATTGTGTCAACGAGGAGAAGCAGTCCCGCCTGATGATCCAGAGTTGGAGCTTCCAGCACCTTGGGAGGTGCTCTTACAAAATGGGCAAATAAGATATGAAAATGAGGACTCAGGAACTTCTCGAGGAAATAGAGCTAGAGAGTTACTGATAAATAACTACTTTAGAAATCTTATGTAGTTTATTATTTTAAGATAAAACTAAACAATAAAGAAACAACTTTTTCATTTATATTTGTTTTATTAACTACAATTTTATTAAAGTTAAGTCTGTAATATAACATAACAATATACTTAAATCTAATGAGATAACCTATTTTAGGTTGGTTTTCTATTTATTCTTCGATGTTTCATTTGTGCAAAAAGATTTCGTGTTTTGATTTTCTCCCGTTTTAATATTTCATTTTTAATTTTTATTTCAACTTCAAATATTTTTTTTCCTTCCTCTCTCTCCTCAGCAGCAAAATTCATTTGCATTTGTACAGCTTTTATTTTAATTTTATGTAACTCTTCTAAAGTTGAAGAAACCGGTAAAGTAGGTCTGCGTCTGCTGCTCCAATTTTTCTTTTGAGTGAGAGGGGTATTTCCAGCATCCTCTACAGATATTAATGCACAGTCATCAATATCCATATCCAAGGCAAGAGGCGTCGATTTAGCTGGCTGAACCACAGGCAGAACTGACTGTGCACGCAGAGGAGCAGATTTCTGAGATTGCAGCATCTTTGGGGTGTAGTCTCCCCAATCAGCAGCACAGTCACCTTGTGATTTATCATTATCGCAGGTAAAATTTGCAGCATCAATATCCAAGTCAAGAGGCGTTGACTTGGTCACAGTGGTGTTCGGCACAAATATGCCTGATACATCTGGAATTTTAACTGTAGCCAATGTTTCATTTTCTTTTAATATTAAATTATCGCAATCATATGGATTTTCGAGTCCAACAGCAACTGTTGAAATAAGACCCAAGATCCGGGTAAATAACGGGTCGTCAGATTTAGGCTTTGCAGGTCCCCCACCTAAACAAAAAATCAAATATAGTTAAGAATGTCACAGTACCACCATAGGTTTATCATGAAGATTTTAGCTGCGAAAATAAGCATGTAAAATGATAAAATGATTTTACCTGTTTGAATCATGTACTGCCTTGCAGCAGCAGATTCTTTTTTGGTGATTTTTTTTAAGCTTTCCCATTGTGCCTTTAAATTTTCCGTGGTTCTGTGGCTGAAACTGGTTTGCGAATTGAATTCATTGGATATTTTAATCCACTCAGCATTTTTTTCTTTCATGGTTACTGCGTCGGTACGCTTGTTTTCCACTATCTTAAAATGGTCAGTTATCAGATCTACCAGTAACATCTTCTCTGGCATTTGCCAGTTAGGACTTCTTTTTCTATCGGTCATTATCATGAACGATATTGTTTCTGTTATTTATTTTCTTCTTTCAAATCAAAACCAAAATAAACACTCAGGCAAAACAAAGCTTCTATGACCTGACCACAGATTACAAAGTAGGTTCCATGACAGCTTCAAACTGACGTATAATCCAACTAAAGTAAAAAGTTCCATTTAACCTTCATGTTCTTTAAAGAAATTGCACATTTAATTTGTTTTCATTATACACTCATTTGTTCGTTCACTCAATATACACTTCCACAGATAAGCAAAACGGCTATTCCAAAGAATAGCTAATCTGAGACTAGTTTATCGGATGTTTTACATGGTGAAATGTAAAGTGAGTTATCTGGGGTTAAATTCAAGCGAATATGTTTATCCTTGGTATAGCTATTCTCGGATAACTACGACATTGGTGAAATCAGCCCTTAGAAAATTACGAGTTGTCATCGGAATAGATTTTTCTGCAGAAAGTGTATGTCTATATGGAAAATTGAACTCTATGTGACTGTGTGAAATAATACATGGTCATGTATTTTAAGCATTGAACATAACGTGGTCACAACAGAAGTTCGTTATTGACAGTGTTTTTGTTTGTTAGAGCAGTGTTTACCTAGTAGGGATTAGTAGCGGCTTCTGCGTACGACTCCCATCCAAGGACAGGGAATTAATTTTGACCAGGTGATAGAAAAGTACATACTTGCTTACTTATTAATAATAATAACGAAACAGATACAGAAATTTAATCTAGAAGCTGTAGCGCCACTAGTTATTTTTTGTGTTTAATGAGTTGTTTTGATTTAGCCATACGTGTAACACATATTTTTGACTGAATAGTTTGTCGTTAAGGGTTTTATTTGTTAAAAATGTATTAATTTCAAGGAAACACGTACTCGTATACACTACAAAAATATTTTATATTACTGAAAACGTATTTATAATTATTGACAGCATTTAACACGAATTCGTATTAACTTGAAATGAACGAGGACACGCAATATGCAACATTGGCTAAAGTCATACAATGTGTATGAAGAAGTCTTATTTTGGATGTGGTAATAACACGCAATACTGGTTATAATTTAATGTACATAAATTAGATAATATAAACATAAGCATTTAAAATTACAATGTGTAGACAGGTCATATAATGAAACATGTCAAGAACTGGTTTCAATAAATTTACCTTTAGTTTTTGTTTGACTTTTGCTTACTTACTTATTCTTACCATTTTCATGTAAACCGCATATCAATGATAAGACATTTCTGATTACAATATACTAAATCGCGCATCGTAATTTTGTAGTTTCCAATCGGCCCACGCTTCACAGGAGCTCGCAACACGTTTGACAGCCGTTTTTCACAATCGTCACTAAAGGTTAATAGAAAGTGGGTAAAACAATGTGCGGCCGCCACAATGGCCATTGTGTTGCATTTGAGTCACGCTCACTGATGTGTCGTTGTCACTTTGATGGCTTATATGTGACACTGAGGTGATATCATATTAACAGGAAAATAATATGTGGAACACAACTTTTATGTAATATAAAAATATGTGTGTGATATAAATATTAAGTTTAGTCTATTGCCTCGTCTCACCTCCTTCGGACAAGCAGAAAAGCTGGAGCGGCCGCAGAGCAGGCAGAAAATAATAAACGGCACAAATATAAGAGTATTTCCTCCAACTTCGATTTAGTTCCCTTTGGAGTAGAGACTCTTGGGCGGTGGGGTTCAAGTGCACAGGCGCTAATAAAAGATTTAAGTTGGCGCCTGGTAGATAGTACCGGTGGCCCCAGAGCTAGTGCTTTCCTCGCTCAATGAATAAGTATCGCAATACAGCGAGGAAATGCTGCCAGCGTTACAGGTACACTGCCACAGGGCCCAAACTTTTTAAATTTGTTTTGATTTTCTTTTTAATAATTTTTATTATTAATTTGTAATTTAAGAAAATTGTATATACATACATTATACTTGATTGTAAATATGAAATATAATATGTTTAAAAAAATTAAGTTTAGTCTATTATCTAGAA